TACCACAAGAACTTAGCAACATTCATCCCGTCTTCCACGTGTTAAATCTTAAAAAGTGTCTATCCGACGAGACTCTCGTGATTCCACTCGATGAAATCGATATAAATGAGAGTCTTAACTTCGTGGGACAGCCAGTCGAAATCATGGATATGGAAGTCAAACGAACGAAACAAATTCGTATCCCGATAGTGAAGGTTCGCTGGAATGCGAAGCGAGGACCTGAATTCACTTGGGAGCGAGAAAATCAGATGCAACAGAAGTATCCGCATCTTTTTCCCTAGTCCATAATTGTATGCATTTCAGAATTTCGGTACGCAATTCCCTCTAACGGGGGGATGATGTGACAACCTGATACTTTCCGGTCAACAAAAGTCAATTCCGCTAAATAAAAATTTCGAATTTTATTTATTTTGTCAAGCTCGTAAGGATTGAAAACAACTTAGATTATATAAATTAAATTTATATAAGTATCGGGACCAAAATCACGCGAAAAATCAAGTTTTACTTCAAAAATCTGCCAAGTCTCGTTCATCGTGGTGTTTACGGCCGCAAACCCGTTTACGGCCGTAAACCCGTTCCCGACCGTAAACTCAACCGATATATATATATATATATATATATATATATATATATATATATATATATATATATATATATATTTTCTTGGAGAGATTTCTCATTTTTCATCATTTTCACTCAAAAATCCTCTCAAATCTCTCCCTAGAACATTCAAACCTTCAAGATCCAACCTTCAAATCTTCAAGTTTTTCACCAAGAACACCAAGAACACCAAGAACATCTTCAAATCTTCAAAGGCCGAAATCGGTTCACGGCCGAAAACCGTTCAAAGGCCGAAATCAGTTCACGGCCGAAAACCGTTCACGGCCGAAAACCATTCACGGCCGCAAACAGCCCAGAATCGTGAATCTTGGCTGTAAACCCACTTTTTCCACTTCGATCGAGTCTCGGTAACATTCATAAACCAAAAGCAACTGTTTTCTAACACTTTAATTAATGGGTTCACTAATTTAAATGCAAATATGTGTTTAATTATTATTAGGATTCCGTTAATTTCGCATACAACAACTCGAGGGTCCTCATTCCAGTCTCGTTGTCCGATACATACACGCAACCAACTGTGAGTTCATACCCCTACACTTTTGCTGTTTTTAACATTTTCAGGGGGGAATACCAGCAAGACACAAAGAAATTTGTGATTTTATATAAAGGATTTAAACAGGATTAAAACTTATGAAATTGATACAATCAAAAGATTATTACATTTTATAAAACACTTAGATATTATATCCCTTTTGTAAAATGCTGAGCATAAGGGAAGTTTTCAACATACAACCATAATTGCAAGGTTTTCAGAATAATACACGAATGGAATGCATTAACAAACATATAAACTATAATAGATATAGTTTATGGAACAATTACCTTATCAATGCACGAAACATAGATTCAATGTGAACAAACATATAAACTATATAGGGTATAGTTTATGGGTCATACAAACAGTCATTTAAATTCAAAGGATTTATTTTATTCTACACTTAATCGTTAGTATAACATTTTATGAGTGAGCATCTTCGCGTACTTAACTAAGTACTAACAAAAGTCCTGAGATTATAACCAGAGTCTCCTGGAGGAAGAACGTGAGTTTGTGTATAGATCTATACGGGACTGAAAATCTCGCGCCGCAACTGTTAGCTACAGTTAGACCGACAGGCCTGGGTGACAAAGTCATTTCGATTCCGACGCCTGAAGAACGTCGTTCAGGCAATTCAATGGTCAAGTATGGTTATAACAACTCATAAATTTGGTACTAAATAATACGATTAATGTATGAATGGTAGCAACTTCAATTAGTTTTTATTTTAAAATAATAAAACTACTATACATACCGGAGGATTCAAGGGTTTTTATACAAGAACATACTATACATTACTGGTGATAGCCAGGGATTTCCTATCATAGTTTTCCTACAAAACAATACGATACAATTCCATTGGTGGTATCCAGGCATATAAACTAACACTTCATGTACAATTATAGAATACAGTAACGAACATACACTTCGGTCTTAGGGTTTAAGACTACTTTTCAATACTAAAGAAAATATTGGATTTTCTTGAGAACATCTAAACATTTTACAGATTCACGGACAAGTTTTCATTACAAAAAACATACTTATGAACTCACCAACTTTAATGTTGATACTCTTTTAAAACCTCTTGTATTCTGAGGAAATCAGTAAACAGGTACTTCCACAGGCTTTTGAGAAGACGGAGCTTATAATGTCTCGTCTTTTATACTTTTGGTTATATATTTTTGCTGTATACAAACTATGTATCGAACAGATGTAAATATTTTACTTATTCAATGTAATGTTTGCATTTACTTTGATTACTATGATGCAATTGTTGTGATACTGTATATGACGTCCTCCACCCCGAACGTTTTCGTCGTTCCGATTTGGGGGTGTGACACAAATCAACATGAAAAATTAGCATATACTTGCATATGTTGCTGATTTCAGCAAAGATGAATTAGAATCAAGATTCAGCAAGAATAAAGATATCAACAAGAATAAAAACATATGAAGCAAGGCAGAATCGTTGCTTCAGCAACAATAAACGAAAAAAACCTTACCTGATGTCGATCGGAGACTGACCAGCGACGACGACTACGTCAGGGAGCAGACGGCGACGGAGAGGAGGCTGCGCCGGCAAAGGAAGCTGCAACGATTTAAGATGTCGATCGGAGATGAAGCACTCATCGAGGGAAGAAAAAAAGAGGGTGCAACGCTTTTTTTAGGGGTGTGTTCGGGTTTTTTTTTTTTTTTTTTTTTTTTTTTTGAAGAGGCTAAAAGAGGGAAGGCAAGTGCTGTCCCAAACAGCACATGCATAGAGTTTTTTTTACTCCGAATACTTTAGTAAAACAAACTGTTGAAGTGTTGCGTGTGTGCTGCGCCGCACAACACAATGAGGTTTGAAGAGATCTTTTTTTACCAAAAAGAAACAACACTTAAATGTAATCACCAAAAATTAGAGAAAAACAAATAAAACCTATACAATTGCATAAATTATATAGATGTTAACATACAATCTGCAGTAAAGATATATAATTATAAGCTTACATAGAAAAACCCATACTCTTCATCGCTAGAAGAAGACATTTTCGAAACGGTCTACGGAATATAGGTTGTAGCAGTTCGAAACGGTCTCTGGAATATAGGTGCGAGCAGTGACGTCGAAATGAACTCAAAAACAGTATTTATAGGGTGGCCACAAACCGGGTCGGATCCTATAATTGTTACCATTTCCTCAAACGGGTTCGGAATCACCCGTTTCAGACCATGTGGTCATTTTAAAAAAAAATTATTCTTGTTATCAAAATATAATTGAAAAGCATTTAGATTACTCAATTTCCTATAAAAATTTAGTAATATTCTTGGATTTTAAATAAATCAAGAGAAGTACCTAAAAGAGAATATCTAACCTATCCTTACACACCGAACAAGCATGATTCATAACATCTTTGTCTTCAAGATTCTTCTCAGAATTAATTTATTTAGACAAGGGGCCAGTTTGTCGTACAAATACACCTCGAATCTTGTATTTTTTTTGAGTGGGATATGTATGGTTTGGTAAACATAATATTCAATTTTTGACCATTTCTAGTTTAACACATTATCTTGAAACTTTCTTCATTGAATTCATTAGTCATCAATTTATATTCTTTTTTCCGCTAAAAGCAAGTCTTTCGTATAAAAGATACTTTTTTTTAACAAATTCAAGATTCAATACTTTGAATTATTCCTTTACGCAATCTTTTATTGCGTGAATGGCGTGGTGAGAAAGAATGTTATACTCTGCATGACTTTGTTGCTAGTTTTAGAAATTGGTTTTTAATGTTAATAAATTTAAATGTCATACATCTTTATAATCAATATTGTTTACCTATATATAGTATATACTCGCCTTTGACAAATTATCATGCCCGATTTTTTGTAAAAATATCTAATTAAATACAATGGAATACGATGGTTTGTAAATTATGGGGTCCATTGGTCCGGATAAAAACCATTTTGGTGGTCTATTCAGATGACTTTTGGCATTTAAAAAGGTGTAGTTTGACATATTTGCCCATTGTCTTTCTTTTGTTGTACACCTCTCATCATAACCATAATGTTCCTATTTATGAAGCTTCTTTTGAAAGAAAGACGACTTCCTTTTGCTCTAAGTTTCTCAAAATTCTATTAACTTTAAATAAACATTGTTGTTAATGCTATGGATCCGAGGATAAGGTATATAGTCTGGATTTGCTTAAAGGATTGTATAAACACTTTTCGAATCTGATATTTCAACCCTATAACTGGATTACACGAAATTCAGACCACGAAAAAGGCTCCAACTTTACAAAACAAAGATTCTTATAAACGAAAATGATGTTGTCAAGGCTTTGATAGCTTTTGAATTGGCTAAATATGTAATTTACAATAAAACTAAGAATCAAGGAATGTATTTTATTGTAACTTTTGGTGGGATAACGAGTAAACATGTAAACACAATCATGGTCAACTTATTACACCAACATTAAAAGCCACACATATTCCGAAAATACCACTTAAGTTTAATTTAATCATCAAATGTTTGACTTGTCAAGGTATCCACACCTCCTACCGACTAAAAGGCATCTTCCACCCCTTTACAAATAAGGACAGCCAAATCCATCCAAACAAAAAAATAATTCAAGATTTGTTAGGAGAATCATATGCTTTTATTAAATCCATTGTTCAATGATTATGTTCTCTAATCTCATACACATGCACCTCACATGAAGCACCTTAGACCAAAATTTTAAGAACATGGTAATAATATTAAAATCAAGAAAAGTTTAATGTAGATAAAAATTCAAACTAATTCTACAAAACTTGCTATTTCTATATAAATTAGATCCGACCACCCGGGCATCATATAAGATAAATCAGATACACAACAACTTAGGTGGCTCACATAAGAGGTTAGGGCCCACAAAGAGCTAAATCGACATTGGAATTGAAACTCCAACTGCTAACTCCAACAATAATTTTCACATTTCTCATCTTCTACTTCATCATCAACCATGTTGTCTCCACCATTCATAAGGGGCCCATTAGGAGAATGCAATTGAGAATTGCTACATTTAGAGAATCCTACATGTTGATTTGTGTCCGAAGATGGAAGCCTCCGTGTATGAAGCCTGAATTTCTACGACAACATTAAAAAAATAAAACAGATGTTAATAAAATTTTCTACAAAAATGTTAGTTTCCCACAACTTCTAGACTCGCCCACATTGTACTATCTTATAAATATGTACATAACAGATGAATAAATGTTGTGTTCAAATCCACATTGGAACTGAAACTTCTACATTGTCCTATCTTATAAATTATGTACACAACAGATGAATAAATATTGTATTCAAATCCACATTGGAACTGAAACCTCCACGTTTGAGCCGCTATACTCAATACTTTGACCACTTTTACAAATATGAGACCCTCGAACTAACTTTTATGTCCTTGTGGCATAAATGTTTTTAAATTTAAAAATTTAAAAAACGGTAATATGGGTAAGAATGGGGAGGTTATAAAAGTAAATTCACCTGCAAATGGCTCTTTACTTCATCATTGGTGAGACCATCTACTTGCATAAGCTCTCGAATCTGCTTAGGAGTCGCTGCTGCAAAAGTTTTTATTTATATACTTTTTATTAATCTTAATTTAGAATAATGGACGATAATTAAAGATTTATATCCCCTAATTGACAATTCAATTAAAAACTCGACATTTATGGAAAGAAAATAGACATCAAGATTGAACCTTGTGAACCACCAAGTTCTTGTAACGCAGCAATAAATCGTCTATGCAACTCCGCTGACCAGCATCTTCTCTGTTTCCTGGCCACCTGCTGCTGTGGTGGCGGCGGCGGCGGCGATGGTGGTGGTGGAGGCGGTGTGCAGCCATTCCGAATGTTTGATTGAAGGTTTTGTGTAGGACGAGGAATCATCGGATTCTTGATTCCGGCATCTTCTTCCTCGGAGTTCTCATTACTGTTCCAAAGCTGTGTTGAGCTCAACCAATTCTTCTTATCGCTATTCTCTTTTTGTTTTTCGAAAATTTCGAGTTTTGAATCATCATTACTATTGTTCTTCAGTGGTATAAATTCTTCGAGTACTGGTTCGGGATTTGATGTTTTCTTTAACATCATTGATTCCTCCTTCAACGCAAAGATTGCTGAAAAAAATGCGTAAAAAAGATATGATGAAACTAAAACCCATTTCCAGATAGAATTATACAACTCATTTAGCAAATGAACAAGTTGTGATTGATCGAATTGAAGAAGAAGAACGAGAAAATGAGAAATGAAACGAACCATCGTTCATGAGGAGCATGCATAGAGGGAGATCTTTAAAAGCTTCGATTTTCCGTTTTTCTGTTTCTAATCGTTTAACAAAATCATCAACTTGCAAAAGCTTCTCTGTTACGTTACTAATTCTCGACACTTCTCCAAGAAACTGGCCGATTGTTTTGGGGATAAAACTTGGTCGGAAATCCAAGGTTAGCTGAGGAGATGGATTTAAGCTTCCCATGTGAATCCCTCTGTTTTCCAGACGATTCGTTTTGTTCTGCATATCTGATGATCAAAATTTGGACATAAAGAGAAATGGTGGAGAGTGGTGATTTAGCGTATGGACGTATTTATGGTTTGTTTGGATGATATCTTGGAGTAAATTGCGAAGAAATACGTACTTTAAAGGGAATCTAGAGTGTGGATTGTGGAATGAAAGGAGAGAGAAAGGAAAATTTTAAAAGGTTAAGATTCTTTTTTCATATATCGGTTCGTCACATATTACACCGACTCTCCTACCCATTTAAAATTGTTTTGTTCACTGTATTTCATATTTGCTTTGATATATATATAACAAAGGATAATTTTTTTTTTCAAGTTTAGAAAATGATCATTGAATTTTATAAAAAAAATCACCAACTGTAGCTATTAGAAAGAGTCATGTAACACATGATTTTCCTAGTAATGCTATTTTTAGTAAATTTATTTGAAAACAAATCAAAAGAATACATAATGATATGTTCCAAAATATGAATCTTCTTTAAGTTGGATGTCTGAAAAATAACATTGTTTATATACTGCCAAAGAACTCATATCGTACTCATGACAATGACTTCCATTTCACTCCCATACCTAAACACCATTTCTTCATTTGTCAGCAACCAAACAATCCTTAGACAACTCGAATGCATAGAGTCTAGGGAAACGATCTCTGAGTCTATCATTACCCATTCAAATGTCATCCCAAAACCTCGTATCGCCCCATTACCAATTCGTTATGCAAAAAGAATGAGGTATGGTTTAAAGCTCATTTATTTTTTTAAACAACTTCACCATGTTGGCACACTTGACCACAATCTACCTCTCTTTGATAATCGAACCAAGCCTCCATTTACTCTATGAATACTCTTAATCACCTTGACCCTGTTAGCGAAAATATTAGAAATAATATTAGAGATACTGATAAGATTAGATAATATATGTATAGTTATTTAATCTCCTATATTTAAGGCTAGTTGTTGTACGATTGTATTCAATATATACATCAATAAAATACATAATACATTCAAGGGAAATAAATCTAATATGGTATCAGCCAGGTTCGCTTAACCCTAGCCGAAACCCCCCTTCTCTTCGTCTTTTTCTTACTTTTTTCTTCATGTCATCTGCCGAATCCATCCTCCCTCTAGCTACCATCCTACATCTTCTCACTATCAAGTTAACATCTTCCAATGAGGATAGAATCAGATACGACCTTTATTATCCTATCAAAACTTGCTAGGCCACGTCGATGGCTCTATTCCTTCTCCACCTGCTACTCTTGAAGTTGAAGGTAAGTCTTCTCTAAACCCAACATATCAGATAGGGGTAGATGCAGATTAGCGAGCTCTCTTAATTATCCAGTCCTCCTTCTCAGAAGAGGCCATGGTCGAAGCTCTCAACCTCACTGCCCATACTGTTTGGCAATCTCTTGAACAGGCTTACATCCATGATTCCATGGAGTGTGTTCAAACACTTCAAGACTCTATCTCAGAGAAATTACCAAAGGTAAGTCTTCTGTTTTTGAATTTGGTCTACAATTTAAAGTTGTGTGTGATCAATTGGTTGTTGTTGGTCACCAGGTTGAAGACATGGACAAAGTACATTGGTTTTTATGTGGACTCGGTTCTACCTTTGAGTCATTCTCCAATGCTCATCGAGCGGTCACACCATGTCCCTCTTTTCACACTCTTCTCTCACACGCGGAAAGTCATGAGATGTTCCTAAAACCGATCCACAATCATGCTACCACTGCTACTACTGCCTTCATAGTGCAAACTCATCCCTCATCCAGGGGTCGAGGTTCTCACTCACATGGTGAATTTTTTGGTGGTAGTAGGCATGGCAGAGGTCCTCCCCATTTCCAACTGTGTCGCAAAAATGGACACTATGCATCCTCCTTCTCTGATCTACCAACGTTGAACAAGGTTCAACTGTTGGTGCAAACCTTATTCATGCTTTTCAAACCAAGTGCAATACTACCGGTCCAAGACTGGTATGTTGATTCAGGTGCTTCAACTCACATGATAAACTCCTTTACACATCTTGATCACTCCTCCTCATATGCTGGCAATGATCAAGTGGTTGTTGGAAATGGTAATATTAGATGTTCTAGTGGATCCTCACATCACTAAAAACCTTCTTTCAATTAGTAAGCTCACTCATAACTCACCAGTAGACATTATCTTATCTAACACTTTTTTTTGCAATTCAGAATCGAAGCACCAAAGAAATAATTAAAAAAGGTAGATGTGAAAACGACGTTACAAACTTGAGCAAGGCAATAAGGCATTTTAGCTACATTATGGAATAAAAGGACTAGTGCTTCCTTTGAAGATTGTCATAACAGACTAGGACATGTAGCTTTTGACATTGTTTATTTATTAGAAAAATTGGGTTCTTTATCTCTTACTTCAGTTTTATCAAAATCAACTATTTGTTCTTCTTGTTAAATCTCCAAAAGAAAACGATTAACTTTTAATGAAAATGGCAAACGGTCCTCACATGTCCTAGACCTTCTTCATTGTGACTTATGGGAACCATCACCAATACCTTCTATAGAAGGTTATATGTATTATGTTATTTTCGTGGTTGATTTCTCCAGATTCACTTGGTTCTATCCACTCAAGAACAAGTCAATCGCCTTTTAAACTCATAGCAAGACAATTCATATCAAATACTACATATAATTACTTTATTATCTAAACATTTGACAATTGCCTTTTAAATGGATGAAGACAATCATTACCAATTCAAAAAATAAATTTTTTATGATTACAAAACAGTTTGAGGTAATGACTTTATCCATTTTTTCCAAGAACTCGAATTTTCTGCACACAGGAGCACCAACTCGTCGGGTACTTGAACTGGACTCTCCGAGTTGATGCTTTACTGAGTGGACTCGGCGAGTCTGTTCATGGGACTCGGCGAGTTCACCTGTCAGAGTGCAGAAAAGTCGATTTTTCAGCTTTGAAAACAAGTGAGCATCAAATATAATAGAAAGGAATCCTAGGCTTTGATACCACTGTTGGGTTTTAAGCATTATAACACTCCTATGGTGCACATGCAACTCTAGATGATTTGGAACTATGTTTTCTCTAATTATACATGCATTTTTCAAATTTCCAAAGCATATAACTTAACAAGCATATAATTCAAAGTAACAACTAGTTAGATATCTTACCTTTGGTGTAGTTCTTGACCTTGGAAGCTTGAGCACCTCAAATGTTGTGCCTCTAATGTGTCACAAACACCAATATGCAAAGGAGGCTTTAAGAGAATAAGACTTGTATCTTCAAAATCGGTTCTATGTTCTTGTGTACATGTGTGTAGCTGATTCTGTCACCAAGGGGAGGCTTTTATAGTGTTTCTCAAGGCTAGGGTTTCATCCATCAAACCCTAATGCACCATGACCTTCCATATCCCTTAGGATCCATGGGTTAAAGCTCCATGGACTATCCATGAACCAATTAGCCCACCCTAATGGATCTTTGGCCCACACTATAAGAATGGATGATTTACATAATCAACCCCCTAGATTTAATTAGTCACTTTTGATCACAAAATTAATTCTAAATTAATTCTTGACCAACACTAATTAACTAATATGATTTCTCAATTAATATATTATACTTATAATATATTAATAAATCACCAATAATCTTATTCTCAAAAGTCCATCCTATCAGATTGGACTGGTGAAGGCAACCCCAAAAGGACCATGCTACAATCGGGTCAAGTACATACCAGATATAGTTATGGGCTTAGACACCAAATCCAAAAAATTTCCGTTCTCAGTTGGGCTGGGTGTTTACTCTGAATGGAGGAGTAGTTACTTGGAAAAGTTCCAAGTAGGAGACCATGGTTGATTCAACGTGCGAATCAGAGTACATAGCAGCGAGCGAAGCGTCGAAGGAGGCGATATGGTTGAAGAACTTCATTGGAGACCTTGGAGTTGTACCAGCCATAAAGGAGCCTATGGAGATTTTCTGTGATAACGAAGGAGCGGTTGCCTTAACCAAAGAACCAAGGGATCATGGTAGATCAAGACATATCAACAGAAAAGACCACTTCATCAGACATCGGGTAGAAGAGAAACTCATTGTACTCAAGAGGGTATCGTCAGTAGAAAATCCATCAGATCCCCTCACAAAGGGTCTGAGCAGGGTTAATCACTTACAACATGTGAGGAGCGTTGGTCTGAAGGACGATATTAGTTTTAGTGATTAGATAGATGTTTCAAAAATTGTAATAGATAAATGTAATTGACATTTAGTGATTATATAATGGAGATTTATATATAAGTATTGTTTACTATATTGTGTCGATTGTTTACTATTCTTTCACTTTTGCATGTTTTACTTCCTGAATAATTGGATTGTTCAAATTATCCACAGTCGATCATACTTTGGAAGTAAGTTATGAGGTTAGGCTGTCATGAATTGGTTGTAGATTGTCTAAGTGCTTAGACAAAGCAAAAGTTTGATGCAACGTTCATAAGTACTTCTGAAATAAGATTTGAGTATTGGATTAAACCCACACTCATTTGAATCACTTCATGGAATTTATCACGAGTGATTGTGAGACGATAATATCGTATAATCTTTAAACCAAGATATATGAGTTGCTGTTTGCGAGTTGGTTGTGCATTGATAATGTGTAAACGCATTAGTAACTTGATGTTATAAAGCGAATTGTTATGCCTGATTTGATAAGTAAATAGTACAAGCATATAAGTAAAAGTTTATATGTTCCTTTTATCTCAAGGGGTAAAAGCAATATCTTGTGCCCCTCGATGATTTTGTGTTGACTTATGTGTCGGGCCCAGTCAGGACTAAATTGATGTGTTCAATTAATTTCTATGTCAAACAAATCAGAAGTCGGGAAACAAACTGTTGTACATTGAGAATGATTATATCCCATGTCTTTGTCCACACGATATCTTACAGAACGGAGGATTATATGATCCCCTATCTAAAGGACGCGTAATTGACTAGGCCAGAGTTCGACAGCGGCTTTTGAGAGCTACGATTGATAATCGTTTTTTGAAGTCATACTTGCAGGTATAGTTATTAGACTTATCCAAGTGGGAGACTGTTGGATTAGGTGTCTAAGCCTATAA